TACTAGGAAAATATGCTTTCAGGGCATTAATCCTAACAGGATGTCTCAGGGGCTAGTTATTTACAGAACTAAAATCTGGTTACATTCTAACAGATCTCTTGTAGATGCATTTCTTACTTTCAAATTGTTCTGTAAATGGGACACTTGTGCAAGTGAATCGGGATCTACTTGAATCATAGATTAACAGGGCTCGTTATTCACGAAGTTGCGTAAAATCAGAATTCTTATGCCAATGTTTTTTTTTTTGAGCCATCTCCCTAATTCTTGGAGCAGCAAATGGATGTGATCCTCCGACCATTCTCCTATTTCTTGCCCTTGCAGCTCTTTCTTGGGCTTGGAGATCGTCCACCATGGTCTTCACTGAAATTCTTTTCATTTTGAACTTGTACAAATATTGCCTTGCCTTTCCCCATCCTTGAACTGCCAGGCTCATCTTCATCTCTTCAATTTGCTTCTTATTTGCCTTGTGTATAAGCCCATCAACTACTGACTTGTACCATGGATGAGAAGGTATGCCCATTCAAGCCAAGTAATCGAATTCATCAGTTAGACCATTGTATCTGCATTCAAAAAACCTTCTTCCTTTGTAGTTTTCAGCCCTTAATGTCTTCCGTAACAAACAATTGTCCACAATGACACATAGCTCCTTCATAATTCTGGGGCTAACGAATTATTTATTGTCAAGATAAGAATTTTGTTTGGCTTAGGGTTAGGGTTAGAATTAGGGATTTTCTTTTGGATGATTGTGAATTGGATTTAGCCATTTAGGAATTTTTGTTTTGGCATGAAGGAAAAACATGTTCACACTCACACTCACACAAGCAAAAATGCTTCAATTCTAGGTGGTTTTAGTTAATGAGGTAAACATGCCTCGGAAGAATTTTGTGAATCATGTGGACATATCCGTCAAACCAGAGTAATAGATTTCAAATGAGTGATGGATATGTAACATTTTGAATAGTTGAGTTACCACAGGGTTATGTTTGTTAGTCCAACAAGCAAGTACTAGCAAGGAAAAAATTTAATGACATTTTAATCCTAAATGATTATAGTTGATGAGGTAAATGTGACACGGATGAATTTCGTCGGATATGCTAACATTTTCCCAGGTTGAAGTGACAACTTTCACTTCAATGATAAATTATTAGCCATTTAAATAGATCAAAGAGGAGTTAATTGTTTCGATGGTAATTGAACTTTGGTTCAAATTTTTGATTGGTCTTTAAAACGTCGAATTTTGGTTATTGAACTTAGGTCAATGTCTTTAATTGCTCACTGAATTGAAATTTATGTTTTAGATTGCTCATTGAAATTTAAAATGTTGAATTTTGGTCACTGAATTTTGAAATATACCGTACGTTATTCATTAGCATAACCGTTGAACTTTAAAAAATATCGAGTTTACAGTGAATAATGTACAATATTTTTCAAATTTCAGTGGTTAAAACTTGACATTTTAAATTTTAGTGAGTAATGGAAGACATAAACCGAAGTTCAGTAATTAAAACTCCACATTTTAAACTTCAGTTACCAATCAAAGACATAGATCTAACTTCAGTAACCATTGAAACAATTAACTCGATAAATGAGCAATTGATAACATTTTATTTATTTATTTATTTTTCTCTCTTAAGGAAAGGAGTAACATTTACAGTTCCGGTCTACTTTCCGGAATGGATTACATAAAACTTTTTCGTTGACATGATAAAATAACTTTAATTATGATTTCATGAAATTATGATATAATTAAAATAGGGATGTAAACGAGTCGAGTCGAACCAACTCGCGAGCCGAAATATTGGGCTCGGGCTCGTTGCGAGTAAATCGTAGCGGGCTTTTGCCAAAAAAAAATATGGCTCGGCTCGGGCCGGCTCGGTTTTTAAATTTTTTTTTGTTGCAATTTTTAATGACATTTTTTTCACATGCTAATTGTTGTGGTGCAATTTGTTTAGTGTAGAAAGCAAAGAAATTGTTGAATGACATTTTTTTGAAAGAATTTAGAAATTGCATCATTTATTATTTATACAAATTACAAATTAAATAAAAGTACAATTTTCAAAATTATATAATTTATACGAATAACAAAATAAATAAAAGTTACAAATTACAACCCTCCTTCTTTTTCGGGGCTTGGGACCGGCTACAATCAACTTAGGTGGAGTTAAAATTGTACACGAATAAAATATTTCGTATACAATTTTTTTGAATCAAATAAATTTAAAAAATACATTTCTTAAAGAAAAATAATTAATTTAAAAACTTACAATATCCTATGTTTGGATATGCTGGAACTCTTCGGCCATTATACTATCAACATGTTCTTGAACACGTAATTCTGCACATTCCCAATCCTTCAAACATATCAAAGCCTCCAATATATTTTCTTTTAGTCTTGATCGTTTATCTGATAAAATTCGACCACTTAAATTGAATGCAGCCTCCGATGCTACCGTAGACACCAGAGGTGTTAGTAGATCACGTGCAATTTTTGATACAATTGGATATTGCCTTTCGTTACATCTCCACCAATTTAAAAGACTAAATTCTTGTAATTCGTTCGGTTGCAACACACTACGAACATCCACGCACATATACCTAGCTAACTCAGAAGAAATTTCAAGATTTGTACCACCAATATTGATTACTCTAGATGTTGATGAGCTAGAACTAGAACTAAATGAAGGAGCACTTGTATTGCTATCTAAATAATTC